CTGGATTGTTATTCGATGAGACTGTTGGATTGTTAATATTGATTGTAAATAGTCTAGTAGTTTCTGATCAAATTTCCATACTGTAAAACGAATCAGAGTGCAGCTTAGTTTGCTGGATAAGATCAAGAAATTTCTGTGAAAGCCTTCTTCAAATGCATTAGAAAAAATTATGAGATGGCAATGTCAAGATATGTTTAAAACGCAACTATGAGAACATACATAACTCAACCACTGATATGTGTATAACACTGGATAACACACCATGTATGAAATATAGTAGTACGAAAATTGAAGCCGGAAGTTGGCTCATTTGCTTACGACCTTCGTGGGGGTATCGTTCGCACTTTCCTGTATTTTTGTATTACAAAATCCCAGTTTTGGCGTTTTTTGTCCTTTTACATAATTCAGGTTTGGACAAAATTTTTATCAAATGAGCAGAATAACCGGTAAAGAGTTTTAACCACAAAATTTCTATCTTCTTGGCTTTGTAACGCTTGGAAATTGAGATTGCAAGTTCGGCACTTGATGGATGCCTGATTCAGAGTGTACTGTTGACAGTGAAAACATAAAACGACTGGTTTAAAATGAATGGTGAACATCTGAGCACAGGTAGGTTTATAGATGTAAATAGTTTAGAATAAATTAGCATTTGAATCTTTCTTCTTTGATATTTTAGTTTTGAATGATATCCTAATTTATTGATGTTTGAAAAGAACAAGTTTATTTAATTTCTTCCTTACTATTTGTCCACATTGATTTTGCGTCTTTTGTTTTCCACAATGGTACAGTCGAATTTTACTGTAAATCTTCGCGATGTCTGTAATCAAGCTGTGGATATGGTTGTTCTCAACTGTTGTATCAAAAATATGATGATGGAGCTCATTAAACAACGTGGATATCTTACAGGATCATAATACTGAGGCTGCAATTGCATGAACAAGCCCTTTTTCTTGTGGAAGATATCCATCAGTTGCTGCTAACATTCGTTCAAAGCACTTCTCGATTTCTTCGCTAATGTGAACAACACTTTGTGTTGGTTTGTAGAGCTTGCCTTGGTCTTTCAACTTTAAAATTTGACTGGTGTGAATGTATCAGAGCCAAGAGAAGTACACCAGTTGTGACAGCTTAGCTGTTTCTCCAGCTTCTTCACGACATACCCAGCAATATAGGAAATTGATGCTCTCTTGAATTAAGATATGGCTGAAACATTAGGTGAATCGCAATGGTCGTGATCTGCTCGAACTGGATTTCTTTCAGTTAAATCATATTTCCACATTAGTAAAGCACTTGCAATGGTATTGGTGTTGTTTTGAGTGTTGCAATTATCAGAAACCACACTGAGAATATCTATAGGACCCCTTTTCTCACAGTTTCCATTGCCACCTTCTATATAGCTACGTAAAAGAAACCTCTTATATGTAGTTGTAAACTGTTGAGTTTTGGATTGTTGTTAAATCCTCCAGCTGATCGCACTGCTCCAAAAAACAACTCTTAATGATCTTGACTAAATTTGCAGGTAAGAAGATATTTAATTGGGCATCTTGGGTCTCAACAAGCTTATTGAACATCAGCTGTATGCTGTTGATTGCTACTAAAAATCCAATAAATCCAGTCGTTCTTCGAGATGTATGCCTGGTTTCACCACTTGGATGTTTTAGATCTAGAGTGTACGCAAATGCCTCACTCAGAAATGGATTTCACTGGTTTTTGTTGTACATGCTGAGTGGTGACTTGTATCCTTTAGCTAAAGGATTTCTGGAATTCAGGATGTCAAAGAGGTGATCAAAAATACGTATGAATTTAACTGTTGCTTCCATTCCTTGAAATTGTGGACGTTTTAACTCATTTGAACAGTACTCAATGGCATCAGCTACAGTGGAACTAATAGCATGAGCAGCTAAGTTGACCTTCATCTTCTGTTGCTTCCATTGGATATGCACCATTTTCAACTTATTACCAAGTCGGAGACTTTCTGCTTGTTGTAACTTCTAAAGCTCAACCAAATACTGCCGTTGGACCCTTCCTCCATCTTTATCTAGGAGAATACCGCCTTCTTCTAGCAAATTTCTAACCAAATTTAGCATGTGGTAAACATCAAGTAACACATAAATTTTTTCTTTTTGATCTTGTGGATGTGGAAAACATGAAATCATGCTAGATGCCTTCAATGTTGCCCCCAATGAAGATAACGTAGAGAAATGGCTAGATAGACCATCACATGTTAGTGAGATCACTTTAACACCAACATCATGTAGACGCTGAATGCAGACTTTCACCAGACTAGCAGGTTCTACACCACCAAGACCATCTATGAAAAAGTAACCACAAGGGACTTTCCAGGATTCATTTAAACTGACCACCATGAAGACCAATGCATCTTTTGCTGCACGTAACGAATCATCAGTGACACCATTTCCAATATCAACATAGCCATGATGTCTTTTACCATCCCATGAAATATGCTTTTTATAGCCATTTCATCCAACATCAGCAAACAAACAACCTCTTTCCCATTTTTTTAGCTTCTTAACTTTTAGGGCGTTATAAGTTGGTTTTGTGAATCCTGGGTCTTCAGCAACTTTTCCATACCATCGTCTAATTTGTGATATACTTGGTAGTGCTATGTTGAAAGTTGTCCTCTCAAACTCATATGCTTTAGCAGAGTAGAACTGTAAAGTCAATGGAAATGATTTCAACATTGGTGAGTATCGCCATCTCTTTCTTGACTTTTTTACTGTCATTCTTCTCATTAGTGCCAAAGGCACACCACTAAATGTCTGACTAAGCATTTCTTCACAGTTAGTTGGAATTAGATTGTTTTGCTTGAGGGACTTAACAATTTCTTTCATAGAAGCAACTTTTTTTAAGAGCCTAAATCTTTGCTGGCAAGATTTTAGTTTTTTCTTTAAAGACTGAATTTTTTTATTTTTTATTTTTAGCTCCTCTTCCAAGTTCTGTTCCACATTACTGAAAGAATTGGAATTTCCATTTTCTTCTGAACACTGCTTTTTTGTAAGTGGACTATCATCTTCAGCATCATGTAATGAGACTTCCTCTAATTCTAGATTTCTAATTTCTGCGTTTTCATTTTCTAACAACTGACAATTGTCTCTTTTCGTCTTTCTTAATGCTGGCTGTTTACACCTTTTTTCTGGCTGAAGTTCCTTTTGCATTTATGCTGGGTATTTCTTGAATCGTGTTGGCACTGCAGTTTGTTTCAAGGTCATTGTTTTGTTACATATTTCAATAAAACTCTACCTAAAATGATCTGAACACACAACAGAAATTTAGCTTGGGTACCAATCCTTACGAGTTATACTTTTTAGCCATTGTTTTTTCCTTGTTTCGTCTAAGGGAAACTTTTAGAATTGGCAATGAAAATTGTTAGGTGTTAGAATGTTAGTTATTTGTGATATAGCAATTTTTTATATTGCAATTATTTTTTTATATTGTATGGTATGTTCTTTTGCTTCCTTTATGGATGATTTTATTGTTTCATTCTTATTCACTATGTATATTTGAACTTACTGATGAAATGTCCTGGGAAATTTTCTTCTAACCTCAGACTCGTCATCAGCACTTCCTTCGCTGTTACTGCGCTCATTACATTCCCCAAGTCTCTTTCGTTTTGAACAGCAAAAATACAACATTGAGCTCCGCGCACTTTCCCCATTTTCCAATTGATTGTAAAAAAGTTTGGCGCCATGAAATGAGGCCTACGCTAGCCTACGCCCACTTATTTTAACATTTATTTGCAATGTCGATAATGAAAAAGTCAAAAATTTTAAATAAAAAAATTTTCTTTACAACGGTTTTTTATTATCTAATTCTTCTGATATCAATACAACTGATATAGAAAAAGAACAAGCCAATTTATCCATGTTTGCCAAATTATCTGGGACTGACATTCAAGATTAATGTAAGTGCCTTTAAAACTCACAGGCGTAAAGAATCTACAAATGTAAAGAATATTTTTTAACTATTGTCAAAAACAGTCAATTATTTCAGCAGCAATAAATATATTTCGTATTTTGTATGCACAAGTTTACATTCTCGTCTAAATTTACACAAACTTCCGAATTACAAAAAGTATGATTTACTCGTTTGATAGTTTGTTTTATTCTAACCCAAACGCAACGGGCTTTTTATGATTGCATATCACATAAACGAATTTTTCACGACAAAATTTCATCTATCTTATCCCTGATACTCCGTAGTATCAACTGTGAAAGAGTTCCTACCTCATTAGATTTTCACTTGCTTTGTCGATAATTTGTGTGATAGTCTGTCCTTAACTTAAACACTTACTACTTTACACGATCGATATCTGGTATCTGTCACATTGTTCTAGCACATTCTTTAATGGATTTCACCAACACAAGCTACATGGTGGTCACTCCTGTTATCCCGTTTTTCTGGCCTTACAAAGCCAAAAAAACAAAACTATATTGATGAATATTCTCTACCAGTGTTTCTCTGCATTTGACAAGATTTTTGTCCGTATCAGAAGTATGTAAAAGCAATAAAAACGCAAAAAGTATGATTTTGTAAAACAAAAGTATAGTAAAGTGGGACCGATACTCCCCCCCTCCCCCGACAACGTTCGCAAAAAGGCAAACTTACGGCTTCAATTACTTTAATAGTGCGTTATCCAGAGTAATATATATATATCAGTGAACTCAACTAAGAGAATAAAGCAGCTTTATCAGGGCGATAAGTGCTGTATAATATATCGATCGACACTTCACACAAAGATTGTACTACTTGAACTATAACTTTTATTATTCCTTGACAGTGATATAATTTGTCTAGAGGAAATCGATGCATTCTATGAGTTCGCCTTTGCTGACGTACTTATTGGCGATTTCATCTTCCATATGCGAAGGTTGGTAAAAATAAAATGACGAATTAGTGGATGAACTGAAAATATCTAAATTTCAATTTTAATTTTAATTGTTTTTGCTTCTTTCCTATTTTTCACATTTGATCCTATTTTCCACATTTTATTCCTTTTTCCGCATTTTATTCCTTTTTCTGCCATTCCGTTCCACATTTTATACATACCCCATAAAAGCTCCTTAAAGGACACATGCAACATAAAATTCGAATTGTTATTTTTGTACTGTACATAAAGGTATAGCTCCAAGTAATAGTTCACCACAGTTTGAGACCCAAAGGATAAATAATTTTGAAGATATGGAGGTTTAAATTTGATGCTTTACTGATAAGGTATTGAATATGCCCGACGAGATAACGATGGCTACCAAATCGGAAAAACGTCGTTGTGACGTAATAGTTGACACTAGCTAGACGCGGTAAATTGCGCGCTTCGTTCAAAATATATTGGTAACATTTTGCCTGCATTAACAACACGACAATTTAGCATTGAAAATATGATTTATTGTGCCGCATTTGATTGTAAAAACGGTTCTTCTAAGAACCACCAAACGCAACAAAAGGTTTCTTTGTTTTCGTTTCCCGAAAACAAGCGCATGCGAGATAAACCGACGCAAAAATTGGAAGCCAACAAAGAGCTCAAAATTGTGCTCGCAACATTTCGAGAGTTCGTGCTTCGTGCAATATTTTGAAGCGATGCAATGAGTCGGATGGACAGCAGGACGGCTTCCCCTTAAGAAGGATGCTGTACCCACGATTTTTGAATACTCTGTGGAACCCACAAGTGTAGCATCTAAAAGGAAGCAACAAACAAATGTTAGAGCTGCATTTGAGAAGAGATGAAGGCAAGAGGTGAATATTATAGTTATAGTTAGCAATATTTGTTTACATTTATCAAAAACTAAGCTATATAGCATTACCAAATTGAAGACAATCTTATAATTTTAGATTATTGACGACGATCTTGCAGAACATGACGACTTTTTTGAAGAACATGACGACGTTCTTGTAGACGACGACCACGATATGTCGACATCGGCTCGAAATGTTTGTGCGTTTTACCTCAATGGAAGTTTGTCTAAGATAAAAGATGTCAAAATATATGTAGCCCGCGAAACACAAACATATACAGTGGTAACAAATTCAGACTAGTGTCGCTTGACCTTTTCTATGTTATTTTAACTCATAGAAAATGCCTTATACGTACCTTAGAAGCGCAATGTGAAATGCCAAGCAGACATAACAATCCCTCCGCAAAAACACGTAAGGTCAAGAGCCACTCAAACAAAAGTGCCAAATATAACGAGTAGAGGTAAAGACTTCCCAGTTCGGACGTTTTGGTTTTCGTAGAAAATCCAGCAATACGATAATTTTATGTTAAGGTACGGAAGTTGAGTTAATTTTAACCACAAATCACAGCACACAGACGACGTCATGTGAAATTGAACATTTTGAGGATAGCGCCGTATGGTCTGATACAGAAAGCACGTCGACGATAAGCAATAGCTACAATGGATCAGGATCTCAATTTTTAAATGAGTTAAGCAAAAATAAAGAATCCGACAATGACAATGCGATGTTAGTACCAACTATCCAGTCACATGACTATTCTTTACATTGCTTTTCTCTGTCAAATGTTTCTCAGAACGTTACGTTCATCTCTCTATGATTCTGATGGTAATTTTTATGTTATAGGGAAAATGTTTAAAATAAGAGAAAATACATAGTGTTTGATAGTTGCCTGGGACATTTAGTGAGTCAATGCCCATTTTTTGGTGAAAGCTGTTTCATTGTGACCAAAACGACTGGTAGTATGGTTAACTTATAGCAAAATGTCATTGTGGATATGTTTGAGACTGGAATAGCCAACCTCTGCATGGGCAAATGCCTTTGGGTAACTTGCTCTTTGCTGCTAGCATTTTGTTTAGTGGTAGTACCCCCAGCAAAGTTCTTCAAGTGCTGTCTGAGAGCACATATATTGTACGAGTGCTTTTGTGTCTAATATAATACTTAATCGCATATAAGTTATAAGAACGAAGGAGTTTTTTTGAATTAAAATGATGGAATCATATTTCCTTTCAAAACATTAGAACGGTAACGGTTGGAACCTTAAAGACATTACACACACATCAAAGCCGACAGTTTTGCCTGAAAGCATTGAGGTATGTAATATAAAATCTTTAGTAGCTTTTATATGTTGTTGTTAGGGTAAACGTCTTATAAACTTTAGTTTATGGTCAAGGGTAAAATATCTAAACATTTAGTAAGTTTTTGTCAGCCATGAAAGACTTATTTTGAGATTGCAAACATCAAGCTCAAAATTCAAAATGATAATAAGCGTGAACACATGTAGTAACACGACACTTACCACACCAAACTAGAAATCACTTGCAATCAGCACAGTGCTGTCGAAATATAAACTTTTTGAAATGTTATTGAAAAAAGCATACCAGTACGGCCTTTTTGCCCAAAACTAGAAACAGACGTGTCGTAAATACGAGATATATGTTATGTACAATGCAATCAGTACAAGTAGCGTGGCAGGCCTCTGAGTTGACCTTGCTATTCAATTTTTCTCAGTCCACTAACTGTAATAACAAAGATTGCTAAAGAAATAAACTATTATAATGCTATGAAAGTCATGATCTGGGTATTGATCATAGATAAATTAAACAAAAATTGCAGACGTATAACTGGCAGTTTGGGTAATCATGAATAGTTCAACATGTCGGAACAAGAGACGAAAGATATGTGTATATCCCTTTTTTATTGCATGACACATGACGAAATAATTTTTGTCTGCTGAAAATTAATATGTAGACTTAATTTGTGTTAGTAAAGTCATTCCAGTCAAAATTTTGGCCATTTAATAATTTTACTATGTGTTATAAAGTGCATACCAAGTAGATAAATTCCATCATTCTGCTCAAGTCTGTAATCACATGCGCCTCCTTCTCAACGTCTCTTTTGCATTTGAGAGGGCACTTTCTTTTTCTGTCTGCACGAAGAGTGGAGGTGGCATGAATGTTCAGTCTGTGAAGCTCTGCAAGCAATTCTGGGTGGGAAAAATAGTTGTCAAAATAGGTATAAGTATCTTTAGCAAGATTCTTAGTCAGTTTCATGACCACACTTACCAATAGCTTTGCCAAGATCAGCATTGTGTGTTTCCACTGTACTGCCTCCTGCAACATAAAACTTGTGAACATATACAGACTTCTCCCAAGACCCATATTTTGTAGCCCCACTTCTTCGGCTTCTTATTCCTGTAAATTTTTAAGCTGTAGTGGCCCTTAAATGGAACTATTTGTTCATCCACTGCTACAACTAATTCAGGTTCAGCACAATTTTCAAAGGATGCAGAAATAATATTCATCAGCGATCTGACTTTGTGAAGTCGATCATCACCTGGTTCGCCTCTGTTCTTCATTAGTTCATAGTCGTCTGAATACAATAAAGACAAAATTTTTTCAAACCTGTTAAAGGTTATTAGATTTGCAACAGCTGTTACTCTTGTCTTTGGTGACAAATACATGTGTTTGGCAGGCAAGGAAACAATACTCATGTAAAAGAAAATTCCAACAAAGATACGCATTCTTTTACAGATACAATCTTGGCATGACTCCTTCCAACTTGCAGTCGGTACCGATTACTTTCAAGAGCAAGCAGCTCAATGTCTCTTCAGCACAATGAGCAATGAACATATCAAATGGGGTTTTGGCATTTAGAGCTGGTCTTTGGGAATAAATAGGTTGTCAGAGTTTACGTGTTCTGGCAGGTCTTTCTTTATTCAATTCCAAATTCTGAAGAATTGAAAAAGTCCCAATGAAGAAATGAATATAGTTAGGTAGCCACATGCATATAACAGAAATTAAATTTCAGGTTTCTTTTTCCTTTTTCGTTCACAAGGGCTCGGTTCATTATCTGAGGAATATTCATCTTCTTCAACATGGTTTTCAGCCCCAAAATCAAAATTATTCCTGATTTTCAGGAGATCATCATTCTCACTCAAATTTTCATCATCACTACCAGATGGTATTTCATCATTCACTTCATCAAAGGCTTCAATAGCTTCTGCAACAGTCATATGTCTAAATACAAAGGGAAAAAATTGTCCATAGACAAAACAAGAAAAAAGTTCTTTCAAAATTTGAACAAAAACAACATAATTACTCATTAATATGTACTGGAATGCATGTCCAAAATATTGGACATTGTAGAATTTTCAAAATATAAAGACAATTTGTGAAGAATATTCAAATCAAATAGTTCCTACGCAAACTCAAGCTTATTGAAAAGAAGTGCAAAGTAAAAGTAACGTCAAAACTGTATTAAAAAATGCGTAATTTAAGGCTTACTTTCACATACCTCTTCCTCATCACGGCAGCCATGTTGAAGTTGACTTGAGCGTCATCAAAATTACGAGTATAAAAGTATGTGTATAACTTCAGCGTACGTACATTTTAGCCGGCTAGTTATTAATATCGCCGGCTCGTATGTATAATTCAATTCCGTCTGAACACAGAATAGATACGTAACAGAAGCGCCACTCAGCGAAAAATCTGTCCCCCACAGTGAACTCTACAATAACTGGAAGGCTAACTCATTATAAACAAACCTAGACTTGTTTGAAGCCACTTAGAAGCTGATTTGCCGCTTCGCGTGTATCTCGCGTGGACTGTTTTATTTGCGTGACGGATTGTTTTGCAAAAACTGCTAACTTGGAAATAGAAATGCTAGCCTAAATGCTTTATTTTTTTCAAAACCGTTACCAAAATTTGGTTATTAATGTGTTAAGATGCATTGTGGACGTTCCGTTTTGTATACGTAACGCTGTATTATATGAAACATAAAAGGGAGAACTTGCTTCGAAATATGAATTTCTCATTTGTCGTCGAAAGACCAAAAATTTAAGACAAAACTGATAACAGGTAGTCTGTATCTTTGAATGCTGTGCAAAATACACACAATCCACTTAACATAACATGTTTCATAACAATTTTATTGCTTTTAAAGTTAGACTTGCTTTGTAAGAATTTCACATGCTAAAAAGCAACCCTCATCCTAAGTGGTTTGAAACAGGGTTTTAAAATGATTATAAAGCAAGCAAAGCTATATCCTGTATCAAAATTTTATAGTATATCATATTGATTGTAAAATTAGTTTTTTTTTGTAATACAGATGATGATAAATGTATATGTAATATATTAAATTTTAGGATGTGTGTTTAAAATGTTTGGTCATATTTGTGAAAATATATGATTCTATAATATTAGACTAATAATCGTTTTCATACTTGTATTACAGTACAATTTTTACTTAAGTGTTTCAAAAGTTATGAATATGGAGTGTCAATTGTGTTTTTGTCTTTTTTTTAAGTGAGTATTGACGCTTTTGAATCTTTAATGGTGCAATTAACAATAACACAATAATATGGCATAACATATTTTTTTAAAAACTCAAAATATTTTTTTGCTAACTTTTTGAAATATTTTGCAAAGTGTTTTTCTTTTTGTTTATGCTCTGAACTTCCAAAAAGGACTGGGGCGAGCTAATTTTGCTCGGAAACACAAAAATTACCGAAAAACAGCGTTTTTTGCCCTGAGAGCTTCATTTTCACAGATTCAAACAATATTATAAGGCTAGACAAGTGCATTTTACATCCTTTTAATGAAAAAAAACGAGGGGTGTCAGTTTTGTATTCAAGTTATAAGGCATGTTTTCACGTGCCAAAACAAAGTTCGCTTTTCATCCTTCTAAAAAGAAGCTTAAACATGTACAAATGTCGTTCAAACTTGTTTTATATTAAAGTCCAAACATTGTTTAAGATTTTTAGACATTAAGCTGGCTTGAAGACCACTGTTTTTTGCAAAAAATCCGGCAATTTCGAAGTGATGTATTTCGCCTCCGTACCTTCAATGGCGGCGCTGATGCAGGCTTCAAAGATGGCGTCCAAGTTAGCCTTCCAGTTGGTTAGCACTATTTTCCACCCAGCAAACCGCCCTTTACTTTACACAATCGGAAATAAATTTAAGATGGCGGCTAATGGGAAAGAACCAAAAGCTAAAAGGAAACCATGCATGAACTGGTGCTAGGTCGTTTTGAGATGGCGAGTAATTTTATCTTTTTATAATACAGTTTTTAATATCAACATATGAAAATATTTAGAGATAAATGTTGCAGTATAAATTTTCATGCAACCACCTTAAGTTATAAACTTATAATCCAGGCTGGAAAATGTCGTTTTTCGACGATTGTGTAAAATATTATATAAAATATTATATTGTGTAAAATATTAGATTGTGTAAAATATTAGATTGTGTAAAATATTATATTTCAAAGTAAAGGGCGGTTTGCTGGGTGGAAAATAGTGCTAACCCTTCCAGTTGTTGTAGAGTTCACTGGTCCCCCACTGGCACCCAGTTCTCAAATGCGCATTCGTAGCGTCCGCCATTACTACAGCCAGATAAACTGGTCAGAATGCGTATATGTTAATATTATGGAGAATTGTTTTTCGAAAATTGGACAAATGTAAATTCGCTTATGGACAAATTTTTGATGCCATCGGAAAGGATCCAAGGACATGAGGTGAGAAACAGTTTTGTTTTAAAATACGTTCGTCAAATATAATTTTACGGGTTTTATAGTTTCTTGCCTTGAATTGTATGCGACATTCTTGTTTAGAACGTCTCTTACTTTGAACGGCAATTGCCTTATGAATTTATAATTTAGGACTAATACAAAGGTAATAAATGTATTTGGTGCATTCCTTTTGGTTGCACAGCATACGTCATGAGAAGGAAGATCAACCTAAAGAAATTGGATTCAAGATCTGTGAAAGCAAAATTTATTGGTTACGATGACAAAAGTATGGATTACATCCTGTAAGAATTCGAATCAAAGCACGCAATGTTGTCTTCAAAGAAAGGGAAATCCAACCTTTTTCAGCAAAAGATACGATAAATCCAGAACAACCAAATCTTATGTGCCCCAACATGGATTTTGACGATGATCGTTTGAAAGATGAGAAAACAAAGGAACCGATTCAAGATGAATTATGGGAGAATAATGTACCGAAACCCGCTGTTCAACATCAGCAAGAAGATGAAGAAAATCCAGAGGAAGAAATCTCGCTTCCTAGAGAAAGCAGAAATCGGCGGCCACCAGAAAGGTATGGATTACACTATACATTCAACAAAGCCAATGAAGACAGCGTGCAAGAGCCCAAGTCTTATCATGAAGCAATTAATACGCCACATGCCGAAAACTGGGGAAAAGCGATGAAAGCAGAATATGATTCACTAATGGACAATTACACATGGACAATAGTGAACGAACCAGAGAATATGCAAGTCTTACCAGGAAAATGGGTATATAAAGTAAAGTATGGAGCAGATGGTCAAATGGACAAATATATGTAGCCAAGGGTTATGCTGAAGTCGAAGGCTTAGACTTTTTCGATACTTACGCTTCAACATGTAAACCCGAAACTTTTCGAATCCTGCTCGCAATGACAGCAGAAAACGGTCTACATATTGGCCAGATGGATGTTATATCAGCATACCTTCACTCCAACATAGAAGAAGAAATCTACCTAGAACAACTAGAAGGTCTTATCAAGAAAGCAAAATCAGGACGAAAGCAAGTTTGCAAGCTAAACAAATCAACCTATAGATTGAAACAAGCGGCAAAGAATTGGTATGAAGCATTGACTAGTCTACTTATTAAAGAAAAATTCAAACGTAGCTGCAACGATTATTGTTTATTTGTAAGAAAGGAAGAAGATGGAACATCCTCATACGTATTAGTTTGGGTAGACGATATTATAGTGGCAGGTACGAGTGAAAAAGCAGTTAATCATATCAAAGCAATGACTTTATTCCAAAGCCATCATCAGAGAATTTATATAATATATTATCAGAGAATTTATATAATATATTATCAGAGAATTTATATAATATATTATCAGAGAATTTATATAATATATTATCAGAGAATTTATATAATATATTATCAGAGAATTTATATAATATATTATCAGAGAATTTATATAATATATTATCAGAGAATTTATATAATATATTATCAGAGAATTTATATAATATATTATCAGAGAATTTATATAATATATTATCAGAGAATTTATATAGTATACCAAGCCCACAGGGATTGGAGACGAGTCAAAACTCTTTTTTAAACTGCGTATGGACGAGAGATTCTCGCCACTATAGCAGTTTACTGGATGGCACCGTGTTTCGACTTTATTCTAAAGCCATCATCAGAGAATTTATATAATATATTAATCCTAACACGGTTTTAATATGTACATAAAAAGCATGTGACTTGGACGAGATTTGAACTCGCACCTTCGGGATATTCGTCCGCCGCTCTACCTGTTGAGCTACCAAGCCCACTGGGGTTCGAGACGAGTCAAAACTCTTTTTAAAACTGCGTATGGACGAGATATTCTCGCATCTATAGCAGTTTACTGGATGGCACCGTGTTTCGACTTTATTCCAAAGCCATCATCAGAGAATTTATATGTTTTAAACATCCAAGTCACATGTTTTTCATGTGCATATTAAAACCGTGTTAGGATTAATATATTATGTCAAAGCAATGTTGAGCAAAAATTTCAAGATGGACGATCGTGGCACATTACACTAGTTCTTAAGAATGCGAATTCTTACGATCTCACGACTTCTCACGACGATCTCAAGATTACTGTTGACCAAAAGAAATTCATCGAATCTGTTCTTCAACAATTCAACATGAGTGATTGTAAAGTAGCAGCAACACCTGGGGCCGGTTGTATAAAAACGTAGTTAACTTTAACTATAGTTAACGCTACTTACCGTAGTTAACTCCTTAACTGTAGTAACTTAACTGCTCGACTTAACTGCGTTGCACAAAACCTAGTTTGTCGGATAGTTAAGTAACTGCGTAGTTAACTTGCGTGGAAATTGCGTGGAGTGTTGTTGAATGATATGCGTCTCGGCAAGGACTGCTTTCTTTCATGTACCAATTATATATAATGGACTTGGGCAAACGAAACAATGAGCTATTCTCAAATTTATTCATATTGTGTTTTATGTGCAAGGATTTAAATATTTAAATGGCCTTGCTTTTACATAATTTAAAACGGAGAGATTGAAGATAACAAAGGAAAATGTCATTTCGTTTCTCTTTATAACAGCTGAGTAAAATGCTTTAAAGAAATGTGTTTGTACAGACATAAGTCACACATATTTGTAAAAGATGACAGTGATGGAGTTTTTTATTATTAGAAAACATTTCTTTGAGTCATCATAGTTAGTAGCCATGCAATTCCAGCAACTGTCTTTTCTCTGCTTGTGACATGTTATATTCACAGCTACACACAAAATACTTTTTTGTTTATAATTCTGCCTTGCAAAAAACTGAGTTATAAAAACTATTGGGTATATTTGTTAATGAGCCTTAGATATGAAACGTTTATTTGTCTTTGTGATTTATTAGCCTATTTTGTCTAAAGCTTGGGAGTTTTATTCATTTTTTTTCTATTTTTAAGGTGGTCATCCCCCTTTAGAGCAATTTTTTTACTTTTATAGGTAGACACTTCAAAACAACATTTTTGGGAAGTGATGAATGTGAGAAATCATATCTGACAATTTTTTTTGATCGCTCATTAATTATGCTAATTATCAAAGATGGCGACTAATTAATTAGCATAAAATAAGCCTATTTCAAACACGATTGCATCAAAACTACTAATCAGAAACTTATATATAATACATATTTACAAAGCTTATATCAAGAGCTAGTGCATGACACTTTTTGCTTTTGTTAAAAAGCTATTTTAAAAGAAATAAGTGAGAAAAACTAGGTATTCAGGAAAATTTCATTCTTCGTTAGATGCATGAACCTTAATTTTTCATTGTTATTAAACATTATCATATTTTAAAAAGTGTCATGCATTAGATTCAGTTACTAACTATTACCACAAAAAATTTGAGCTTTCTACAACAAATATTGAAAAAGTAATCGTGTCACAAACATTTCCTTCTAAGAGGAAATAAGGAAAAGGAGAAATTAGCATTTAAAGTTTTATAATGATCTTACTGAGACTAGAAGGCATCAGCTTCATAAGTTTTTCCTTCATTCTGTTCACAACTATCTACAAAGTTCTTTCTCTTATGCCTGAGTGTTTTTTTTCTTTTTTTTACCTTCTCTGTACTCTTCTTGGAGGATAATTTGATACGACTGGTATCACAATGCAATGCGCCATTTGTAGTAAACATGCCAGGTAGTATGTTTAAGTCACTAAATAATTTGAGGAATAATATATCTCATTCATTGAACTTAATCACAGCCAAGTAGCTTGAAAGTGCTACAGTTTCCTGTTCCACATATGTGGACTTTGGGCATCTTTCCCATATTAGCCCGTTCAGACACTCATTCACATTCTGTGTCAAACCATGTGTACACTTTTCCAACAAGCTTTCATCATTTAGACTTTCATAAATGGGTTCAATGAGCTCAACAATACTTTTTGGTATACCATTCGTATGATGGTATGTTGTAGGGTCTTTCTTGTATCCACAACAACTGTCTTCAGTGTCGGGGCAAACTGTAGCTAGAGCTTTCTGCTTCCTAGAAAAATATTGGCAGGCAAGATTGTATGTACATTAAAAATAAAAATTTTTACATAGGAAAAATATAATGAAATTTCAATAAAACCCACTAATTGACTGTCGTGTATATTTTCTGCTTGTGTAATAAACCATGTGCAATGGATAATGTATATACATCAAGAAACATGGAACTTCATCATTGTATCACACAAAAGAGTAGTCATGAATAAAAACTGTTGTAAAGCTCACTATAATTAGTATATTTAGCACAACATTTATACTGTAGTACCTCTTTGTTTTATCATAATCTAGCTTATTTTCCATAGAGCAATGAGTTTATATGATGCATATTATATTCAATCAAGCAAAATGCATAGGGAAAAACTAGCAATTTGAATATTTGATACATCCAAGGCTATAGGACTCATTACTCGAATAACGTTATTTCGTTTTGTCATTGAACAAATTGTACGTATTTGTAAGACAATGTCAGCGAGTTATGTGCACTAATTTAAAATAAGTGGCTCTATCTCAATTGAGAGTCTCGCTTATGAATTGAAACAGCTACCGGACGCAAAAAAAGACAATACAAAATGCAATCGCTCTTGTGTAAAAAGGGATTTGTTACGTGGATAAATTGTTGGCTGTTTTTCGTCAGCAAAACTTGGGATGTTTACAGCACTGACGAATGTAGTACACCGTCCTTAAAGCTCTTATTCTAAAAGCCTTTGCCATGGAAGATACATATGTGATGGAAAATTCAAGGTAAAACCTTTTTGATCAACAACATCTCGCCCATAATTGTCTTTGAGAAGCTAAGCCGCCATATTTAACTGTGTTTTGAAAAGTTAACTATGCTCCATAGCATAGTTACTACAGTTACCACAGCATAGTTACAACTTTAACTACCTTTTAACTGCAGTTAGCGCTAACTATTTTTTCATACAACGACTTAACCGCGTGATTAAATTTAACTACTTTTTAACTGCAAAAAGTGTAGTTAAAAAGTAGTTAAGAGCTTTATACAACCGGCCCCTGAAAATAATCAAAAGTAATGACGACCAGAAATTAGTCGATGCGAAGTTACACATGTTGCGGAGCTGCTTTTTATACTATATTCATTGGCATTCGCTTAACATGAAAAACGGTCGTAAAGATATTCAATTATCATACATGTATAATTACTATGCTAAGCACAAGTAGAAAAAACACTGTTAGGGGCTGTTCACATGAGCCCAGCTAACCGGGATTCAGCGAGACGTGAAATGATTTTGAGGTATTGAAAGGAGTAAAAACTTTAAACGCAAAACTTACAACCTTTCTTATAAGTCATGAGTCATTTTAGTTGTAATTTTCAAATCTGGCCAAATTATTTGTTTTCATTTTAAAGGTTTTGTGAATTTGCAAATTCCGAACATAGAGAAATTGCTTAAATAAGTTTTTTGTTGTGAAGGAGTTAATCTTTTCCATTTGCTAAAATGAATAAACGCTTCGCTGAATCCCGGCTACCCGAGCTCATATGAACAGGCCCTTAGTCGATATATTGTAAAAATTATGTAACAAACCTTTTTGCTTCTTTCTATTTGCTTCTTCTGATGAAGACGATTCATAAAAAAGAGATATTCTGTGTAAGTTTGAGTCAGCTCCAAAGCATAGTTAACTTTAACTACATTTTAACTGCAGTTAGCGCTAACTACTTTTTTATACAACTGACTTAAGCCCGTAGTTAAATTTAACTACTTTTTAACTGAAAAAAGTATAGTTAAAAAGTAGTTAAGAGCTTTATACAACCGTCCCCTGTAGAAGTAAATCTGAAGCTAATCAAAAGTAACGACGACCAGAAGTTAGTCGATTCATTACTATTTATTGGTAAGCAAACCCGTCCGGATAACCTTCACATTGTTAATCAGCTATCAAGATTCCTAGATAAAGCTGACACGTCATATTGGAAAGCAGCAAAGTACGTATAAGATATCTTAAAGGAACTATCAATTTACAGTTAATATTCTTGAAGAATTCCAATCTCGACGTCGATGGTGATTCAGACGCAGATTTGAGTGGTGATCTCAATGATCGCAAATCAACTACAGGATATTACTTCAAATTTGAAGGGAACGGAGATGCAATCAGCTGGGAAGTAATGAAACAGGCAACTGTAGCACTTTCGTTTTAGTTAATATATCTACGAGCACTAATGAAAGATTTAGGTTATCCAATGAAGAAACCAACCAACATTGGAAAAGATAACCAATCTTGTATAAAGATGTGTCACAATCCCGTAATGTATAAACGATTAAAGCACATCTATACGAAACTACACTTCATTCGAGAAGGAGTGCAAAGCAAGGAAATAACGATCAGTTACGTTCCAACCGAAGAAATGACAGCGGATATTCTTACAAAGTCATTATCTCGAGTCAAAGTAGAAAAACATCGAGCAAAACTTTTAGGGATTTAGTTAACTACATAGCAGACTCATCATGAGCAAGCTGAGTCTGAATGGGGGTATTAACATTATACAATATAACATAAAGTATTTCATTTGTTAAAGTTAATGTTAATTTAGTTCATTAGATATAGATCAGTGGACACGTGACAATCGAACGATTTTACAAACATCCGATATATATATATATATTTATTGTTCTTAGTAGAAAAAGATTATTGTAAAATCAATACTAATCCAAGAATAAAGCTTATAATCTAACAAACAACATATAATCACAATAACAGCTCGCAAAAATCATTTTCTAACGTTTTAGTTAATAAATTTCTTTAAGAACGAAAAAAACTTACTGTAGTATATTAAAGAACAAGCCAACCAAAACTGGATACCAGATGGCAAAATGATTTTGTCTTCTTCGTGTATACTTTTTTAGTGCTTCACGAAGCAAGGTCGCATTACAACGGAGACCTAAATTTGCCCCCATCTGGGCGAATTGTATCGTTCGATAATGAATAGTTGTTGGTAATAATGATTGGACAAAGAAAGATGTTTTTCAGAATATATATATATATTTTAGAGATTTTTTTCTTAACTTTTTTTTTGATTGCTAATGTCTTAACTCCCTGCAAAAGATGGCAAGAACAATGTAAGAGAACAAAAGGAAATCATATTTATTTTTTGCATAGTTTTGAAATAAGTTTTATTTTTGAATGATCGAATAGTTTCAGAATCAGAATGTTTTCGTTTTACTCTGCGCGAATATCGTTTAAAAAGTTTTTTGTACACTTTACTACTTAATTAATCAAGTGAATTTTTATTCCTTTTCCATTTGGTATATTTTCAATGAAAATCGTTTTACCTTGTAAAAATGTTTATGACAACTTGGCCACGCCCTAAGCCACATCTACGCCCTTGGCCACGTCCACGTCCACGCCATCCGCCGGGCCACGACATTAGTGACGACCACACCGTCCGCTGCAGCCTCTCGCACTTCCTCGTCCACCGCATTTTTTCTTCGTAGGGCACTCATCAGGGGCGTGCCCCACCTCATTGCATATGTTTCATTCTGAAATAATAAATGTATATCCATAAACATATATAATTTGTGCGAACAAGTGTGTCATTAGTTTAAACTTACTCATTTGTTCTTGCTTTACAACTTGCTAAAAAGTTGCGAACGATAAAGACATCCATGTCCAACAAAATACAAAAACATGTATTTAAATTGCAAACCTGTTCTCGTTGAAGTTTCTCCTGATTTGGTCATGTTAAAGAAAAATATAATACATATTTTTGCATTACAATGCTTAGTTTTGCATTTCGCAAAATGCATTTAGATGGTTGTTATAAAAAGCGAGAGTGAATTTTACAGTGTTGCGGAGTTGATTTTTATACTATGTTCATTGGCATTCGCTTAACATGAAACACGGTCGTAAAGATATTCAATTATCATACATGAATAAGTACTATGCAAAGCACAAGTAGAAAAAACACTCTTAGTCAATATATTGTAAAAATTATGCAACAAACCTTTTTGCTTCTTTCTATTTGCCTCTTCTGATTACCATGATTCATAAAAAAGAGATATTCTGTGTATTGCTCCACGAATTTGGGCCAGGATAATAAAAACATATTTGTAATCCTTAGAACAAGATCTTTAAGACGACACTAAACACAAGTATATTGTAGCGTGTTAAATTCTTCAAAATAAGGTATATATAACATGTCAGTTGAATACCGCGAATATTTATTAATGCAAAAGTGCTATAACTTTGTCAAGCTGTACATTCGCTTCACGAATTTGGGCCAGGATAATAAGAACATATTTGTAATTCTTAGAACAAGATCTTTAAGACGATACTAAACACTCAGAATTGTGACCAGGGATATACCGGGCGGAAAGCGAATTCTTATTATAAATATCAAAGGCCAGCAAAGTGCTTTTAAAAGGGCCATTTAATGCATAAAAAGAAATATTTATTTAGAAGCGTAACGTTTCGTCTTGAGTCTCAAGACATCATCAGACAGTATTATTTAGACGTTAGTGAAATAATGCTACATGACAACATTACTTTATATTAACGCAAAAATGGTATACCTTTCTCAAGCTTTAGATTCGCTTTTGGAATTAGGGCCAGGAAGATAAAGGCATATTTAAATCCTTGGAGCACGCTCTTTCAGATGATATGAAACACAAGTAAATTGTAGCGTGTTTACCGTATGGATTATTTCTATATGACCAAACCATAGATATAGTAGGTCTAGATTACTGACGAGCCGTCATATTGCGTGACATCCATGATAAATCCAAGATGGCGTGGGAACCGGGCAAAAAACATAGAGTCACTATAGGGCAATTGATGTTTTTCGCAATTTACTTCTTCTCATTGTTTTCAAACTCTTCCGATTAAGTTTTATTGGAAACAAATCTTTATTTCAAGTGTTTTGAAACCATATTGGACAGTTATAATTGAAATACGGGTGAAAATATCGCTTTCGAAATATTGTGTAAATTGGTCGTTTGGTTGTCTCAAGTCGTTTGTCAATTAAGAGAAACAGATTTTTTCAGCTTTAACTCCCATACTTGGAGCATCGGAATATGTCATATTGACAATTTACAGAAAGATTGGGGAATCAATCTGAATATTTCTGACAAAAAAGCGACTTATTCAAGAAAGCAGTCCCACTGTACTCGTACTGATATGTGAAATATGTGAGATTCAAACACGGTTTAGAAAGGCCATCCGACTTTGAATGAATGAAAAGACGAGCAAGGAGATACATAACACTGCAGCACTATTATCTACTGACAAGATCTTAGTGAAGCTATTAGAGTTAGTAAACTTAACTGAAGGAAACTTACCTCATCTCAAGTAATTGTATCCAGGAGCATTGGCTATACTGCTGAGATCTTACAGCAAAGTGGTTCAACGGAAGAGAAGGAACTTATGTTCAGAAGCTTGTTATATTACCAGTGGTTATTTCAAAATCTGACATAATAACATTCAAACACATAACCCAAGATACTGTTACAATACTATTTTTTGAGAGAGTTATAAAGCTCTGTATGAAGTATTTTTTTACTAGAGCTAAGGTGTTCATTAAATTTATATATTATCTTATGAAATATTTGACATGGATGTCATCGGTGGCATATCCAGAATGAATATTTTACACTTGCTATGTAAATTTCACTGCATGATTGCTTATTTCATTAGAAATCTATTGTTTTTACAGTGAGTGAACACAGCAACATTGGGATAGCATGACCAAATAAAAATGCTGGCTATGGCTGAGATTATTATAAGATATAGCTGTGAATAAAATATATGTGACTTTTATGCTTATCATACTTAGTAATAGTATATACAGTGGATACATAGCCAAGAAAATTACAAGTTGCATCAAGTGTCTGAATGTGCAACTGCCTTAACCATAGAGAATGATGACCAAACTCTCATACCTGACCACTGTCATGAAGGTTCATTAAAGTCAAGCTTAACATCTTTCAAGACCTAAGCAAGCTTACAAGTCCATCCTCCTCATTGGTAAAAGTAGTGAAAGCAGCAGATAAAGCCCTTCGCAAAATGGTCAACAAGTGGAGTCAGTTGTCAGAAAAAAACAATCCAAGTTATGCAACGCGATGTCCTGCAAGAAACTAAGCCAAATGTATTTCAATCGCTATTGCAGCATTCTAAGGAAACTCATGCACTAGATGAGAGCTTTTGCGATGACCATATCACCATCCTCATCAGAAAAATAGCATACATGTACAGTAAATATTTGTACACCAGTTTTCCAAAGTGTACTCCGAGAGAATCGTTCGTAAAGGAGCTCCATCTAAGCGGCAAAAGCTGACAAAACTCATCTTTTTTCGAAACGATTAAGACTGTGTCTGTTAAGTGTCAACACATATTTGAAGATTAAAAGAACGAATAGCATCTTGAAGTGAAATTTATGTAAAAAATATGAAGATTAATTTTCCCATCTTTTTGTATGTATTCAATATGATGTATTTCAACGTGGACGAACCAGTATGGGAGCTAAAGCAGACGAAATCCGTTTATTTTGGTAGACAAACGCCTCGAGACAACCAAACGACCAATTTACACAACACTTCGCAAGCGATATTTTCGCACGTATTCCAATAATAATTGTCCAATATAGCTTCAAAACATTATTAATAACGCTTTATTTCCAATAAAACTTGATTGGAGGAGTTGGAAAACACTGAAACGAAGTAAACTGCAAAAAACAACAATTGCCTAATAGTAGCCCTAAGTTTTTTGCCCGGTTCCCGCGCCATCTTGGATTTATCATGAATGTCACGCTGCCGTCTTAATAAGTCTTATATTACGTCACACTCGTCAGCAATCTAGTCCTACTATATCTATGGACCAAACCATTGAGTTCTATGATAACTGGAGGGGAAAAGGGGCCTGGACCCCGTGGTCAAAACATGGCGGTAATGGCGGATTTTGGTTGTCAAAACTTCCACTTTGAGAAAAAATTTTTAACATTCGCTCCCTCCCGAACTGGATCTCTATATTGCTCATATTAATGACAACCGGCGAAAACAACCACGATACCGTAAGCATAAAATATAGAAAATAATGCTTCAGGTTTTTGTGAAATAGACACACACATTTAAATGAGGTAAATCTACTGTAAAATAACGTATATGTTTTCAAGTAATGCTTTAGCTATATTAGAAATACATATCAAACGGCAATCTTTACACTGTCAATGTGTTGTTAAGCTTTAATGCATAATCCCATGCGCATCATTTGTGTTTTTGACTGTTTGTTAACAGCATGGTGCAACTGTCTTTCTTGAATAGATGGGTAAATCTTAGTTAAAATGTCGAAAAAGGAGTTAGAAAAGTTAGCTTTCCCATACGACTTAAGTCGACTGGAAATATATTATAAGTAGGTATGTAATTTTTTTGAGTTTTTGGTAGGATTGATTCTGGGTGTCTTATAAGGTATTATGATATTCTGATAAATCTACTGAGAACTTATGAAGAAATTATCTTGAACTGGAGAGCAAAAGAACGAAATTCAGAAATTCTATAATCATGTTGCTGATTCTGTTTTGAGCCAAGATATTAGAAACTGGATTGTCATTGACAACCATGGATCTACTACTGAACAGACCTACATTAATTTACCATTGAAAATACAATTTCTCAAATTAAAGTGCACTGGTTTCTCTTACATAACACTTTTCATAATGCTGCATGAAGGCAAATCTGTTTAAATAATTAAAATGTAGGTGAAGATATTTAGCATGTTGTATAATTGTTATCGTACAGTCATTATTTATAATATTATGGCCTTGTGTAATGTATGTCAAGAAGAACTTATTAATTCTCAAAAATTCTAACCTTCTTGCACTACTTTTCTGTTGTGTCCTTACAGTTAATTACAGTTACCTATACTAATTTTTTCTAGGTTCAAACAACTTGACAAACTTTTGAATTTTACATTATGCCTTTGAATTTTTCTTTTTGTCTTTTGGTAAAAATATCAGTGAATGACTTAAAAATCAAGTTTATCTAAAATAGTATTTTGTACAAAGAAACTATACATAATTGGAAAAGTCTCATGTTGAAGACAGATGTCGCTTCTTTTACTAGATTGCTACTATTATTCTTTTAAATGATATCGTAATTCTTCAAAAGACATATTAAGTTCTTTGCCATCAATTTTTGCTTCTTCCACATTCCACTTCATTGCAACCAATGCATCTTATGTGAATTTTTAATCACCTGGAATTGAAAAACGTATGGATTTTGTCAGATGATGCAGTACTATATTTAATGTTTCATGCATATCATCATAAGCTTTTCTTGAGCAAATATTTCAAGGTAGGAGCATAATTTGGCACATTATTGAACAAAGTAGTTTTTATCTTGATTTTGATGTACTAACCTGTTTACTATAACAAACAATTCGTTTACAGAAACACCAGATGTCATTTATAAAACTTTTAGAATAAAGCAAACCTTTACACACCATCATCATGATTGTCCATAATCTGTCAAATTGTCCAGGGTAGCTGTTTAATACAGGTATTTTTTTATTGTACGACATGTAGCAAAGAGTTCATTAATTAATCCTGCACTGCATTTGGCTTCAATACAGCTCTGTTCTTAATATTTGCTTCATATTTTCAGAAAAATATCATGAAAAAATCCTCCATTTCTTGAAGGTAAACTCAGTTGAAACAAGGAGTTTAAGATATGCATATCTCGATAAGAATTGGTTGCATTGTCTCGCCTAGCAAGCGATTAAGTAAAGAACAAATAAGACTGGATAAACATAACTTAAATTATAACTTAGGAGTAAAAACATTCACAAAATATATACCATCACACATCAAGTATCGACTTAAAAAAAAACACTGAACACTTTAAATAGTAAACAATCTTACGTTGCTTACCGGTGTCAGGAAATGTTTCCTTTTCTGGCATTACTTCAGCATCCGTATACCAAACAAGTTTGTAGCATGTTTTAAAGATAAAATTTCTAAAAGTTTTTGTGCTTGGCTTTGATGTTTTATATAATCTCAATTGTGGTTGTCAAATCCGGGTGGGCGAAAAAAATTTTATTTTATGAGCCCGCGTCTTTCCGCTGACTTTGACAACCAAAATCCGCCATGTTTTTGACCACGTGGCCGCGCGCTAATACTTTATAGTAATTTTGTTTACGTTTCCCCTCCAGATCTTATAGAACTCAGTGGACCAAACACGCCATCTGTAATGGCGGTGAGTGAGGTAGAGAATGACCAATGTGCGCATGCGTAGTATCTCGTGGGATCTCTACGGTAGATGCGGATAGACCTTTTCAAGGTTATCGCAGCCATATTGCAAGGGGTGCAAAAACATTGGGCCAAGCGCGCGGTCACGCATGGCGTCCATATAAATTAGTAATAAATGCGCAAAAATTACCCTTATACATATTGGCCATTTCTTTCAAATATATTTCTCAAACTCGTCCATTTTAATAGTCGAATTATTATTTGCGATTTTTTATACATGTGAGTCCAATTTTGTGGTAATCAAAAAGCGGAAAGTTAAAGAAAACATTTGTTTAAAGAAAACAACTTGACCGTCGTTTGAGCGATGTTCTTGAGTTCGCAACACACGCACATGTCTACAGCAAAGTCAGCAAGTATCACGAGGAACAAGTCTACGGCAAACTCTTATTAGTATTTCCAATTATTTGTAAAGTGACATTGCTATTTTTATTATTATGTATGGCGACTAAACAGCCAAGTATTGAAATACACACTTAAAACTGTTAGTCGATGGCAGGCCGGTGTGAAACCTTACATCATACTCTCTCGTCAACTGTTCAAATTCCAAAGGGACAGGGAGTAAAGATGCCTCAGATTTTGCAGGATTTCCATCAAAACTTGAATCAGAATCCTCGGTGTCATAGGCTTGATGAGGACGCTTTGATGTCGTCCATGTTTCTCCTCCTTTACGTTTAAGCGGAGTCCTCGATTGCTCGTACTCTGATAGCGTAATAAAAACCGAAGGATAATCCGTTCCGCAGTTATTTGGGGTTCTTCTTCCCGAGGGAAAATAATTTGAGCAAACGAAAGTACCTTGTGCACCAGGCTTTGGGTTAAAGTCATCGGCTCTGCTGTTTGCAATTTTTTTTCGCCAAATTTCAGCAAGTGGTTCATCTTTGGGCCACTTATGAAAAACTAACTTTTCTACGTGAGACCTCTTAACTTGATAATCAGGATAGCGTTTATCATTATCGCAATATGCAACTGCACAACGCGCATTTTTTACCATTTCGCTTATGACTGCTCACGGATACTCGACTAGTTTATGGTTTAGTTCGTTTGACTTGGCTTATGAGTTCCGCACATTTGCAAACTCAAGAACGTCGCTCAAACGACAGTCAAGTTGTTCAAAGAAAACAAATGTTTTCCGCTTTTTGATTGCAACAAAATTGGACTCACGTGTACAAAAAATCGCAAATAATAATTCGACTATTAAATTGGACGAGTTTGAGAAATATTTTTGAAAGAAATGGCCAATATGTATAAGGGTAATTTTTGTGCATTTATTAGTAATTTATATGGACGCCATGCGTGACCGCGCGCTCGCCCAATGTTTTTGCACCCCCTGCAATATGGCTGCGATAACCTTTAAAAGGTTTATTGTATTGTATGTTCCGCCCTCTGAAGATAAGCGGAATACAAGGAGAATCGCGCGAGTATGCATTGAAATTTGCGAGAAATGCAGTTGCTACGTTACAAGACAAATCTTGAGATTTTGCGGTATTACGATTACGAACCACCGAATAAAAGCGTGAAAATGAACGAATAAAACATAACATTACAAATTGTTTGTGAAATAATATTTATCCATCTCCAAATAGAATATTATTATTTTTGGGGAAATTTCTACTCCCTCGGGCAAGAGTAGCGGGACCGCTGGCTACGCCAATGGTAATAAGACAAAAATTTAACAAATAATCTTCCCAAAAGTAATTGAAAGCCTCATCCGTTCGACCAAAATGCTTATCAGTCAATACTATATCATTCAAAACCGTTCACTGATCTAATTATTGACCAATCAAAAGCTTATTTAAGCGTGCCTTGACTTCCTCATATCGACCCCTGGCATTAATTCTTATAATGTTTGTCTATCATCCACTCAATTGACTAAAAATGGCAAAATAATCCCAAACATGGTACCATTAAAATTATCTTAATTTATCTAAAATGTAATTATGGAACAATTTATTTACCTGTTGATTATTAGGTGCATTAATAAGCCTTCTTTAACCAAGCGTGAGGTCTTTACGGGTACGATTTGTACAAAAAAAAACAGAAATCCAAAATTTCTCAGTAAAGACTGAGCAAGTGAAATTGGTTTCTTATACGGGATTTTTTGTTCTGATGTGAAGTTTGCATTCTTTCTCGTTTTTGCTGTTTTGCACGGGTTGGCTTTCACATTTGTAGTTTTCGTCAGTAAAAAAATCATATTTTTAAATGCTTTTTGTTTCATTTTTTTGCGATTTGCTGTTTGTTTTACGAAATTTGTTCACATTTGACAGCAAAAGTACGCATTTTGGAACGTAGTCATTATGGAAAATAATGGACCGCAAAAATTTGTCTGAGCCAATTGAAGCGCGTCATCTTGCCAGAAGTGACTCTTGCCATATAATTTTTAAACTTTATGTGATGACAGATTATGTAACCGCTCTCATTATTTTGGTATGGTTTTAAAGTATGTGGATTTTAAAAAGGGATACGAGACTTATCTGTTTCGACCATTTCAAATGATTTTTACTTTGCTATGTAATGTTTTAATACAAGTCATGCGATTTGATTGGCGTGTGCTGAGACTAGATATAGCCTTAATTATACATTGGAATGTTCAATAACTAAAATAGTTTATTTGATCTGGTTTTGTAGTTTGCTGTTATTGTTGGAGGACATTTTGTGGTAACAAAATATAATGTATCGGTACTCTAAGCTCATGTTAATAACGTATATTGGGTATGCCATTGTTTTTCTCACTTGTATATACACAAGTGAGTCAAAGGTTGAACAAAGAAGCTATGGTCGCCGGATTACTGAAGAATTTGTTGACAGCATGATGCCCGAAAAATATTCTGAGAAGTCCAAAAACAGTCCTTTGAGGAATGTCAAATACGACAAGAAAATCACTTCTCAACTATATCTTGAACGTTTTACATCTTCAACAAATCAAAGATTGTCAAAGGCTCAAAACGATTTCGGGCCAACTTTTAAAACTGAATCTAACAAACTGCCATCTGTAAGTTTGTTTATGCGATTAACAGGTATGCATATAGAAAGATTTTATTGCGATTTTTTAAGGACAATGGTGTTGTTTTGGCCTCCATCATACGGTAACCTTGTTGTAGTGTTGGATGAGGAGTCTCAACTTGATCATAAATTAGCAGAAATCATGAAAGATCACTTTGCTAAATACTTTCCTCGTCGTAATTTGAAAATTGTGTATGAAGCTTTACCAAATGGTCATGAAACACTCTTAAAAATGCCATGGCCTAAACGAGACACTGGTTACAACAGACAAATTTGGAGCAGTTTTTATAATGATCTGTACACAAATGATACGGTTATAGCATGGGTTGATTCCGACACTGCATTTTCAGCGTCTGTGACCCATCGTTCAATGTTTAATGGCACACGCTTAAGAGTTATCGGTACCGACTGCACACTACCACACGCTGAGTTTGCAAGAAAATGCGATAGAGTTATATTTCTTGCTCTTGGTCGACCACCTGTAGGCGACTTTATGCTACATTTTCCAATTTACATTTATCGTGATACATTTACCAATTGTAGAAAATTCTTAATAAAAAGATATAAAGCTCGGGACTTTGAAGAGGTTTATAGAAATATGAGCACAGACGGCCTTGTATGTCCGGTAAGTCTTGTCCTTAACTATGCATGGCACTTTGAGAGAGAACGTTATGATTGGAGTCTGAAAATTTGCACTGCATCTTTGGATGAATACAACAGAAGGTTTGAAAAAAAAGCAGCTATAAGACCTTCCGACATCAGAGAAATTTTATCAGATCCTCAGTTAAGTGTTCATACGGGGGAACCTGGGTCAGCACTTGGTTCTGCTCAGATAATATTAACCAGTTACTGTTTATCAACTGAAGAGGCTGGAATAACGGCAAAACATTGTGTGAGAGAAACAGATTTTAATATCAATAATGCTCTGATCCTTTTTAAATATGGAAGAGCACCCGAGACATGTGTTGGAGAAATGGTTAAGATATGTGTTAAGATTTTAAAACAGCATTATCGTCTTGTTGGTTCTGAAATAAAGAATGGGGAACGTAGGATGAATTGGAGTGATATTGATGTTGTTGAAACTCTTGTTAAAGACGTCAATGGCTTATGTCCAGATATTCCTACTGGGAGGCTTAAGAAGAGAAATTTTATGGTGTATGTAATCTTTCTTCTTGTTTTATGTTCTATCTTACGTTTAATCATAACAAAAAAATATCTTATAAAGAAATTTTTGTTTATTTTTTTAAGAAAATGCCGTCATATGATGAGAAAACAATTTCTTTATATAGAAAATAGTTCTAACTCAAAATAAAACTTTTGTTTCTTTTCTGTATTTCTTCTGAAGCTTAAAAAATTAAAATTCTTAAACTGCAAAGAAAACAAGTTCCCATTATACAAAATCCTTACATGTTTGTAAATATAGATCGTCCAGGTTGGTATAGTCCTGAGAAGGACTGTTTTTGTTGTTGTTGGCTGACATTTCGACAACCTTAGTGGTAGTCATCTTCAGAGTCATCTTCAGAATCTTTGGTGCTTTTTGCTTGTAGACGCTCTACTCGTCTACAAGCAAAAAGCACATGTAAATAGTAATTTCCTCATTTTGATCAAGGCTCGAAGCAACGAGTCGAAAGCTCAATAAAAGTCATTTAAAATTCGGAGAAACTTTTATCTTTTATGTATTAAATGCCTGGATTACCAATTTTCAAGCCTACATTCCGTCATATATATTTAGCCGTACTGGTTTCTTTTGAAAGTGATTTGACTTTCTATAGGATTGAAGAAATGCTATTGGCTAGCTCAATCACATGGTAAAATGTGATTGGCTAACAAAATAAACAAGCAATGGCTGATCAATTTTGTTGAAATTTTGTTATCGAAGACAAAGTACAAATTAATGTTTGAAAACCGGGTTTTTTCTTTTCTTTTCGCTAAAATGCCTAAACTGCCTTAACTAGGTCTTTGTGAAGATCTTTTTTTCCCATTCAGAGAGGTATTGCGATAAATTTTCATTATATCCGCCATTTGTTTGTATATATAAACATGAAATTTTCTGTGACGTCAATTTTGTGCGTATGTCCTCTTTTCGACCAATGAAAATTGCTCAAATTCTTCTGGTTATTATATAAAATTGCATAAAAGATGAAAATCGTTTTTCGTAAAAACTTATCGTCTTCTCATATAATTTAAATCACTCTTTACATGAAAGACGAAAGCGTCGTCGACCTAGACTGCCTCAATCAGCTAACGTCGTCTTAGACTTCGCGTCCTCAAATCTAAATCTGTTTATTGTAAATTAAAAACGAAAGTCATTTTTGCGAAAGGTATACTACGAAAAAAAATTAGATTTCTTTGTGTTTTCCCCCCAAGTAAGAGCAGAGCATGGAACCTTTTCACTATATTAATTCAGTTGCTTAGGGTAATGTCTTTGTAAGAATGGACGTGTGGTGTCTAGTGGCGAAGCCAGTCCATCCACTTTACTGAATATACATTATTTAAAAGCCTATCTACCACAAAAACATGAAACCAGCAATTAAACTGGTCTCCATCTTTCCATTCAACACCCAAAAAACTTTCATTTATAACACTAAGCTAGAATGCAGAATTTGACCACAAGGCACGGGTGTACGAGGGTAAATTTTGCATTCATGAAAGAACAGGCATGTTCATGTAAAGGTACCCTTATATTATTCATTTAGTTTAATAAGTCAGCTCACAAGTTTGTTTATGCTATTAAATTTTTCATCATAACCATTGTTCATTTGTCTTTGTTTTCAAAGTAGGTGAATACTAAAATATTTACATAGCATAAAAAAGTTGCAGGCTGCTTTGCCTACATTTGTGTTTGCTATTGATCCTTAAGTTTCAAATACACAGGCTTATAATGAATGTGTTTTTGTTATAATATGGTTGCACTTAAACGTATTTTTAAGTGCATTTTCATTAAAGTGGTTATATCACGAATTTTAGCCCTCCTTTTTTATTAGCTAAATTGAAAGACCTTGTTTCAGTGATTTTAAATCTGCAATTATAATTGAAATTGGATTGGTGAAAGTGATTTTACGGACATTCAAAGTCACGATTTTCAGCATTATTTTTGCGAACTTTTTGATCGGTATGCTAATGACTTGTGACGTAGAAAGTTGAACACATATATCAACATGGCGTATTCTACTTGTAATCTTAATAAGAAACGCGGAGGAAAACGCTGTGTTGCTGGCGGACCTAATCAAATTAGTTGCGCCAATGATTCAAAAACAGAAGGAATGTCGATGCATCTTTTTCCTAAAAAAGAAACAGAGCCGCAAAGACATAGAAAATGGGTAAATTTTGTGCGTAAACATAGACCGGGTTTTGAGGCTTCCTCTACCTCGATGCTATCCCAACCATTGATGTGGCTGGGATTCCTGAACCATACAGGACGAAATATCCGATCGAAAGCGAAGACAAGTAAGTTTACGCTTGTTTATGTTAATTTTTCTTTTGTCATATGTAAATTCGATATAAGTTTTGTAGATTATTCGACATACTCTCCATAAGCCATCGCTGAAGGAAACATGTTCTCTTAATGAGGAAGTACCATCTACTAGTGATGAAGCTGAGCATGTTTAAATATGCACTGGGGATGCAAACGATTCACCATTTGAACGGCTTGCTATTTTCCATTTTTACATTTATGCTATGATTTAATTCCATTTATTTTTTCTATTGTCTTTTTTCCCAGACTGACATTGAAGAAAAGATATTCTTTCATTTAATTCTTTAAGCTTAACCTCTCAGTAGTTGCACCAATTTGTTTTTATTGTTTACTCTTGTTTCAAACCATTAAACTGCATTTCAACTTATATAGTGCATTCATGTATCTCCTATTTGGTTTTCATCTAGGCATATTTCCTGACCATTCCAAACTCAGCAAAGAAGGTCAACAGTCTCTACAGTGCACAAGTTAAAAGACTATTCCATCATCGCCCATCTGATGGTATGTAACCTGTTGTGTTACCACTTGGATATGCTTTCCGAATAAAGTGGTAAACACAAGCAGGTAAAGGCCGAGTATTCTCCCATCCCATAGACTCACAAAACCATCGCATCAACCATCTGTATGCCACAGCTCTCAAGTACCTGAAGTAAATAAAAAGGTTGGACTAATTATTGTTGATGAAACAATGTTGATGATAACATTGTTTCTCATACAATTTACAAACTTACATATTTAATGATTGTGATGCTTGGCGGCGATAAGCACGTCCATTCCTATCTCTCAATAGTGGCCCGACGTTTTCAAGGACAGCCTCATGAACTAAAGGCCCAAATTTGGCATGCTGTGTTATGCATGATATTTTCTCAATGCTGCCATCGAATGTCATTTTCTGCAAAGCTGGTCCTATTTCCTTACAGCATCTGTACTCTAATGCGCCTTCTAACAAATCGGTATGACAGCATTGACAATTACACCTGAAACGTAGGAGCATTGTGGTTTATAAAGTAACTTTATGTATATTACAAACAGGAGAAAACAACAACTTACCATTCACCGAGTGGAATTACGCCATCACTTCGTTGTTCTAAGGTCGCAGGGAGAATTCCATCGGGATCATCTGGAGTATGCACTTCATCACCATCTCCTGCGAGCGGTTCATCGTCATATGCGAAGTCGTTTAAATGCTCGACATAACCCACGGATTCCGAGCTCCAATCAGATACGCATTCAGACATCGAATTCGAATTATCTGAGCACTGATTTGAGGCCATACTTTCCGGACAACTTGTTTTTTAATATTTTATTGAAAATACTGTCATTATTTGTTTTTAAGACAAGAAAAACGACAACAAAATCACCTTCTATAATATAATATTATATTGACGGAAACAGACGTGTTCAACTATCTACGTCACAAGTATCAATATGGCTTTGGAGGCAAAATTAAGCAAAATTAAGCAAACTTTAGCATAATTTTGCTTAATTTTAGCTTAATTTTGCTTATTTTTAGCTTAATTTTAGCAAACTTTAGCTTAATTTTGCTTAATTTTGCAAACAAAATTAAGCAAAATTAAGCAAACTTAAGCACGACTTTGGAGGCAAAATTAAGCAACTTATATTTATCTGTTTAAGTCCAGCGACATGTCATAGTTCTTCAAATAATCCAAATTTTCAATTAAGCTCATAAAAAAGGGGGGCTAAAATTCGTGATATAACCACTTTAACTTGAGAACTTACTTCAGTAAAGCTTTTGCCAAATGGGAGATGTTTCCCGATCACATGTTGAATTAATAAAACATAGCTGTCATGCATGGTTAACATGTTGCATAAAACATAAAAAATAATTTCAGTTCAGACTCTATCAAAGTCAGTTTCATTTCCATGTTGTATAAATTTATGTTTAATGTATAAAAATGAAAGTTACTACGGATTGTTATAAACTTATCTTATTGAGCTTTCGACTCGGTGCGAAAGCTCAATAAGCCTTCAGCCTGGGCCACACTATCGTCTATATTGACGAAAACGAAAACGAAACGAAAATTCGTGCACGAAATGCATGCCAGACACGACGAAAAATTTCAAGCATGTTTGCAAAGCCAAAACATTATTGGCCAATAAGCCAGCGGCATTTTTGACGGATTAGAAACAATGGCGATCTTTAAAAGAAAAAGATTACTTCTTCTTAAGAAAAAGTTATTGCTAAAATGTTTAAAAAGTAATGGAAATGAATGATTTGATATAAAAAGTTTGTCGGCGGACTATCAATAATACTCACTATCCCACGCCAAGTCCGTAATTTTATTAAATTCATCTAAAACATCTTGCCAGTGATTTCTTTTCTTGTTCCTCGAGTCCTTATAATCCGGGTGACTTTTATCATACAAAATTGGTTTTTCTCGCATCAGATTTATCAAAACCTCTTGCCACTCCGCCATGTTTGAGAACAAAGTCTGATATCATCAAGATATTTTTAGCCAATAGTATGCGTTTTCGTTGACGAAAAAGGTCAAAGTTCAACCCTTCTAATATGAACGAAAACGAAATTTTCGTCGAGTTTTCGTTCAAAATTTTCGTTGCGGAAGTTTTCGTTCTAATTTTCGTCGATATGGACGATAGTGTGGCCTAGGCTTTAATCAGAAAGATATAGGAAGTTGTATACGATTGTTTTTGATTTGTGGACGCTTAGAGCGTCTAATTGAATTAGCGGTTAGATTAATATGATTGGAAGGTGTGGAATGCGTTGTCATGGGTTTTTGTGTATAGACCCATTGCATGTGACGTCACAATCCCGGTGACGTTACATCTGGAGGACAAGCAAACGCGACATGTAAATAACAAAGCAATATTATTGTTAAGGATGGTTAACTTTCGCGCAATTTATGGCTGTTCGAAGCGTGCTGATAGGGATAAGGAATTAAGTTTTTATCGCATACCAGCTGTGAAAACCAATGCAAGCAAAATATTGCAAGATTTACACAAGATTTACACCACTACAGTCATTATGTTTAACGACCGCTTATACCACCAAATTGATGGTGTTGCTATGGGTAGTCTCCTTGGCCCCCTTTTTGCCAACATATTCATGTCTTTCCATGAACAAAACTGGCTGAAAAACTGTCCCCACAAATTCAAACCTATTCTCTACAGACCATGTGTAGGTGATTGCTTCCTCCTTTTTAAATCACTTGATCACGTTCCTCTCTTTTTAGAATACATCGACCATCAACACCCCAACATCACTTTTACCTCTGAGACGGAAAATAATGGACGACTACCGTTTTTAGACATTGACATTTACCGCTCAAACGACAAACTTACCACCTCTGTATATCGTAAACCCACATTCACCGGTCTTTTCACAAACTTTCACAGCTTTATCCCACTCTCTTACAAACGCAACTTAATCTCTGGCCTATTACACCACTTTTTCAAACTCTACTCTAGTTATGAGACTTTGCATGCCCAAATTGAAACCACCAGAAAACTATTCAAATTCAATTGCTATCCAACTAATATGTTCGACCACATTGTCCGTCGTTTCCTTGACACAAAATTTGAACAGAAACCACCTGTCCTTAGTGTCCCAAAGAAAATAGTGTATTTCTGTCTCCATTCACTGGCTGTCACTCGTTACAAATCCGCACACTAATCAATTGTCTCTACAACGCTGCTTTCCATCATTTCAATGTCAGATTCATCTTTCCTACCGCCACACGAATCTTTCATTTTTTCCCGTTAAGGATATAATTCCCAAGTCTCTGAGATCTGGTGTTGTTTATTTATACACGTGTCGATGCTGTTCCGCGTCTTATGTTGGTCAAACCACACGCCACTTACGCACCAGAATCTCGGAACACTTGTGGATTCGACACATTCGACCTCATGATCCACGAAAGCCTCCTCATCTCCAAACTAAAACCTTCACTAAACACCCAAGGCAGCTCAATCCCTCTTAAGCTTTTCTCGTCTCAACACTCTAACAATACATCACATCACACTTACACATTCACAGTAATCTGATACCTCAAACTATGTAAATGGCTCTATATATATCTGTATTCTTCTTAACTTCCTAACTAGTCTGAATTGTCTTGAGTAAAGACGAAACGTCACTCTTTTAATAAATTTCATAAAACCAAATTGTTTATGACTCTGTTTACAAATTATTTGCTGGGCTCTTATATATATATTGAAAATCCGTTTCCTGCCTGGCACTTCATTAAAAACAATATTGATAAATCGATATGACAAGAAAAAACATTATCATGTCCCTTTTATAAATTAGCTATCTTACTAAATTTTTTAAAGCAAGAAAATTTATCTTAAAAAAATAAACCACTTTCGATAAATTTAGTAGTATAGGACATGGGGGTACCAGCGCAAAAAAGGCCCTGTTTTCAAAGGTAAGCAAAAAAGGCCCTGTTTTCAAAGCTGCGCAAAAAAGTCCTTGTTTTCAAAGGGGGGGTTAAAAACTCAAGTTTTCAAAGGGGGTAAAAATCTCGAGTTTACAATCTATCGTTTAAAAATTTAGAATCTATATGTTTTTGAAATATATAGGTGCGTTTAAATTTTACAAGCAGTCTTTACAAATAAATGTTAACATAGCATCGTTTCGGAGGAAACTCGGCAGCGCAGATCACAAAGTGATCGAGCAGGGAATGGAGTTTCGAGAATCCTCAGGGCTCGGTGGGAAAATTTTCACGAAGTGAAAATTCAGACTAAAGTGGCATTCGAGAATTCGAAGAATTCGAAGAATAACAGACATTTAACATATGCTCTTTTAAAAAATATGGAATCTATATGTTTTTTAATTTGTCTGTCAAGCGCGTGTTCCTTAGTGCATGTTTTTTAATAATGGTTGTTTAATGTAACCAGCACATGTAAGTCGGCGCATTTTTTATATTATTTGTCTGTCAGGCGCGTGTCTTAGTGCATGTTTTTTAACAATGGTTGTTTAATGTAACCAGCACATGTAAGTCGGCGCATTTTTTATGTTATTTGTCTGTCAGGCGCGTGTCTTAGTGCATGTTTTTTAACAATGGTTGTTTAATGTAACCAGCACATGTAAGTCGGCGCATTTTAATAATTTAATGTAAATAATTTAATGTTTTATATAATTTTTGTTAAAAGTGTTTGTTACTAATTGTTTCAGGATTTCGCATTTTTTTGTATATCGCTTTTGTCTCAAAATTTTACAAACTGCCTGCAGCAAACAGTTATTATGTGTTAATCCATCTGAATAAAATACTTTCACTACAGTGGTTAAAAGTTATGTGATATGTAGTCAAACCTAAGGATTATAATTATTCTTGAGTTTTAGCTTGATAGTTATCTTTAATAAAATTTTTTAATTTTTCGATTTCATCATTTACAAATTTTTTAGTTGATAGAATATTATCTTCTATAGTAGCCCCAAAATTTTGTGAAAAACCATTAGATGTCATAGATAATGTAGATTGGTGTTATGAATAAACTTGCATTTTGGTTAATCCATTTAATGCTGTCAGCCATTTTCTTTTCCATTCGTTATAACCAAGTGAAGCTGTAGATTTTTGGTTCAATAATAATATAAATATAGTTGAAATCATCATCAACACAGTATACGTAATATAAATCTAGTAATGCATTAACTATCTTTTTTTCATTATCATTTGTTAGTTTAATGATAAATTTTTTTTTTAATCTTATCTACCATCATATCTAATTCAATTGTTTTAGAGTTATCAGACGGATTTATTAATAAAAGTGTAAATTCAATAGATTTAATATTATTAAAAATAATTCTGATAATATTTTGTAGGCTATTAGAAGGTGGGTTATAATTTAATTGATTACTATGATATACTACTTTACTATTTACTATATCATTTATTTCAGTCTTAGTATAACAGTTAGTTAAATTAGAAGTCAAAGCATACTTACCATCAGCTTGTGTTTTAGTATAATAGTTATTTAAATTAGAAGTCAAAGCATACTTACCATCAGCTTGTGTTTTAGTATAATAGTTAGTTAAATTAGAATTTAAAGCATACTTACCATCTGTTTCAGTCTTAGTATAATAGTTAGTTAAATTAGAAGTCAAAGCATACTTACCATCAGCTTGTGTTTTAGTATAATAGTTAGTTAAATAAGAATTTAAAGCATACTTACCATCTGTTTCAGTCTTTGTATAATATTTATTTAAATTAGAACTTAAAGCATACTTACCATCAGCTTGTGTTTTAGTATAATAGTTAGTTAAATTAGAATTTAAAGCATACTTACCATCGGTTTCAGTCTTTGTATAATATTTATTTAAATTAGAACTTAAAGCATACTTACCATTTGTTTCATTCTTTGTATAATAGTTGGCTAATCTTGAAACAAAAACATATTTATTATCAGCTTGCATTTTAGTATAATATTTTAGTAAATTAGAAGTCAAAGCATACTTACCATCAGCTTGTGTTTTAGTATAGTAGTCATTAAATTTACCATCAGCTTGAGTTTTAGTATAGTAGTTATCTGATAGATGTGTTTTATCTACAGATCCTTGTATATTTACATTAATATCTGTTTTATCATGCCCATAAAATAAGCTCATTTATATTATTCCTCAGATTTTATATCCTGTTTATTATTTTTATGTTCGTAAACATGTTTAACGGTTGTTATACCACCAGATAAAGACCCTAAAAAAGGTAAAAATGGTGATACTTTTTCTACTAAACAGTACACATCTCGTTTTAAAAGGTCGTCTGATTTAAGCTGTTTTGTTAATTCTTTGGGATTTTCAATAGCATCAAACCCTTTTAATATATCTGAAAATTTTGATATAACTAAATCAGTTAAAAACTCATTAGCTTTTTGTAATCGTTTTTTCTCGTATTCAGTGTATAATTTATCAATAATTTTTTGACTAGCTTTTTTAATGTAAGCAACTGACTTGTCTAAATCACCATCTTCAGCTAGTTTAAGTAGTTGATCTCTTTATTAAAACCCTCATGCGGTTTATCTTGTATCATCACATACCGCGTCTTTGATAATATCATTTGTGGAATCAATCTCATTAATTATATCATCAATTGTTTCAGGCTCTTTACGCTTTGGCATATATATATATAACATATTTTATTGCGGAATAACAATTTTCCATTGGTATGGGTATACAAGTTGGATTTCTAAATGTGCATACTTATTATTTTTCAATTTTTGGTTATTTCTTCTATATCATCTTTTTCAACACCATAAAGATAATCATCAAATATGGTTTCATATCATTGCGGTTTGTATTATAAAATGTAACTAAATAACTTATATTTTCGCGATAAGGTTTAGAAATACTTGTCAATTGCTGTGTAATAATAGTAGAAAGCCCATAATGACGAGCACTAAACCTAATTTTTTATTGCGATGTCCTATTTTTAACATCTAAGCAACTCGCACAGTCATCAAGTATAATAAGACTATTGGTGCCTTTATATACATCACTAACATATTTTAAAACAATATCTACATGATCTTGGTCACATTCTACTTTAATTAAATCAGAATCATTTATATATTTCCATTCTTGATAGGTTTTATTATATGATAGCGTTGGACATAATAAAATAATGTAATGAAAATGGTTATTAAAGTTTTCTTCTAACATTTTGAGAAGGTAAAAAGATTTTCCACAATTAGTCATACCTAAAATAATCATATTAAAAGGTTTATTCATATATATATTACTTGTTATTTAGTATTGAATACTTTGTAAATCATTATTAACAAATTGAACAAGAGCATCACTAAAAACATAGATGTAACAGTTTAAATCTTTTATATATGCTCTCTTTTTAATTTCGAGCAGAATGCCGTTTTGAGTATTAATGATTCGTTTTCCGTTACCAGCAATATTTTTTTCTTGAAAGGGGCGTAGATCGATAACTAATGCAAATTTATCCTTATAAAATTTTTCAATTGTCATGAAACTATTTATTGGTATAGTTTTATCAAAAAATCTTCTTGCTTCTTCATAAAATAGTTTTTTATTCATACCTTGGGCGAAAATAACATTAGGCCCCCCTCGACAGTTATTTTAACTTCATCAATGTTTGGGTATATAAAATTTTCATCAATAGCTGAATTTTCTGTGAATAATAGTACAATGCCTTTCATACTTTTACGAGGCACATTGACGTTAATATTCTGTAATGTACTTGACTTATCCCATTTTTCCTTTTTTAAGAAGGTTATATGCTGATAAAATAGACTTCTTCCTATAGAATATAAATTTGTCACCTCATCTGCAATTTCTTGATTTTCAATAGTTTCATATTCAAGCTGAATATTTTCTAATTCATAATCACCAATAGATTGACCGCTTTGAGGTATAAGGACTTGATCACTTGGTGGTAATGTTATTATGTATTGAAAGTTATTATTCATTTTGAAAGAACAATAAAGACCATGATCTTTAAGAATATTATCAATATTAATTTTCTGCCTAGTACCATAAATATCATACATTAATTTGTCTGCTACTTTTTCTGAATCTCCACTTGTTGCAGCACTATCATCCCCAGAAATCAATTTTCTGAGATTTTCACGGCAAATACCATATTCAATAAGGCCTTGTCGATCACTTTTCGGCATCCACAAGTCTTTGTATATACTTATAACATTATGATTATTACAGTCGTATAATGTCTCACCAGAAATTTTAATTTGGAGTCTATTTTGTAAAATCTGACTGAGATTATTTATAAAGTGACTTTTTGTATTACTGATTTTAAGATCAAACGATAGATTAACTGAACCAGGCACTAAGCAACTATTTGGTTTTAATTTTTGTATATTAACATAAACTTGTTCATTTGGTTTAACACTATTTGGGTTAAAGGTTATACTATAAAAAGTTCTATTTCCTTTAAATTTTGCCATAATACTCCTTCTATAACCAGGTAAAAGCTCTAC